TAGGAACTTTAGGCTAATCTGGTTGCCTAATTTAATTTATTATGTTATGGTTGGTAACAAATTCTGTCAAAAAAGTTGACAAAAAACCAGTGGCGTATCATAAAAAAATATAAAAAACTTCTAATGCATATTTTTTCTTTATAAATAATTAATTGTTTCGACTTTTACTTGATGAAACTCCATGTTAATATTGTTTTATTTTAATATAAACTACACTGTTTAAAAGTTTCACGATCTGAAGATGCTACTGTGTAGCGAAACAATTGTCATATTTAAATAAAATAGTGAAACTTTTAAACAGTGTAGTTTATATTAAAATAAAACAATATTTTTTCTTTATCGTTGGAAAAATATGTTTCCTTTACTTCTTATGTCAAAAGGTATTCAGTATTTTAATATATAACATTAATTACATAACACCCTGTATATTTTCATTTCCAGGAGAAGGAATAAGGTTGTTCACAGCGGAAGAATTGGATGTTATTAATTATTAACAATTGCGAATACAATCGGCGCATTATTAACCACTTGACAAAAATAGTATATTACACTACAAGGGCAGAAAGTGTGAGATTCCTGCACTGCGCGCCATCATGGCGCGCAGTGCAGGGCTCTCACACTTTCTGTCCGTGTAGTGTATACTATTTTTCTTACTACCTCGACTGAAAATAATAATTGAAAACAAATTTTGAGGTTATATTAGTGTCGTAATCAGAGTTGCATATGTTGAACACACGACTAAAAAATTTTTACTCCCGCTATTATAGTGTGCGCGTATAGCTTGACCAATGCAAGAAACGTAAACTTTCTGCCATGAAATCGGGGACGAAACAACGTATTTTCAGTCGAGGTAGTAAGAAAAATTATTTGTTGTATGCTTACATATAACATTTTATTTTTGCCCTAGATACAGACGAAAAGCAGGTATTAATTAATGAATTAATAAGCTACAACAAACAAAAATAGGTGATATTGAAAAAATGGATTTTTTTCAATATCACCTATTTTTATTTGTTGTAGCTTACGTGCAAAGTATTTGTATGCAACCTTGCGAATTGTTTCCTGCTTTGCGACAACTTAACCTATAATTTGCCGTGTCAAGCTTAGTTTTCGGACGCATATTACGCTTGAAAAAATATATAGACTAGATTAAAGCTAAATGCACGTTATTTAAATGGAAAAATATTGGGGAGTGTTTTTGAATTATTTGGAACCAATTTCGCCAAGCCAATTTTAGGTCTACAAACGGAAAACTTTTGTATTATTTATTTTACTGAAAAAATTACCCCCCGTTAAATATCTGACATGGCGTTAGGTCAAATAAATACTTTACCTTTTTTGATACTTTTATACAAGGTAAGTTAAAAAGTAAAAAACTTAAAAATTCGCTACCCTTTGACAAACACCCTATAGAAGGTATTAAACTTAAACTTTGGTCGTTCTCCTAATTTCTACCCACTTAGCAGGCCTGTAAAAATTAGAGCTCATGGAGCACACAAAATAATGGGGTGTTGCAGCCTGTAACGAATTTCACACATTCGCGAAAGCGAATACTAGTTACTCATATTCGCGAATGCGAATGTCAACTGCGAATCAAGAGGTTGTATTATAATAGGTATTGTCTATTAGGATACAACAATCCGTGGTTGCCTATTATGTTACAACAACTTATGGTTGTCTATCATGGGCGCAGAAAATCGCGGCAAGTAAATGCAATTTTTTTTACTAAAACAAAATTTGTTGAAGTTGTTTTTATATCCACATAATTCATATTAAACCATACCACAAAGACGATACATTTTCCATTTTAATGGGGTTTCGGCAAGTTTTACATTTAATTTTTTTCCCCCGAGCAAGTTAATATACAGCAATAAGAGACACATATTTTTTAGGAAATTAAACGCTGTACAAAAAAGCTTTCTTATGATTTTTTCATAAATTCACTATTTAAAAGTTATTTAAGGTTAAAATTAAACTTATAATTATTTTTATGAAAAATGAAAATATGTGATTTTATTGTATTATTAAAAGAATAAAAATTATTGAAAAGAGATAAGTGAAAATTTTTGACAAAAGATTCCAATAAATTCAATTTTTTGTATTACATTAAACGAATCTGGTACTAGTTTTACTCAATAATAGTACGATTACTTTTTTACATAATCTTTTTATTTCTGTGAAATTTTACAAAATTTTATACGATTTTATAAAATATTATACAATAAAAAGTTTTCCTTCATTACAGCTAATAACGTAGAAATTTTTTAAGAAGTATTTTTACGACAAAATTAAATTCGTAGCTACGCATACGTTGTCTTAAGTATGAGATCCAGATATTTCCGCTACACCAATTAAGGAACATCCGTGCAAAACCGGCTATTTCCATTTTAATAAAATGTTGCGAAAATGGCAAAAACTCCCCGTTTTCTGGCCTTTACAGATAAAAAAATGCATCTTGAGTTTTGTGCCCACAAAACTTAATTAAGGTGCATCTGTAAAGGCCAGTAAACGGGGAGTTTTTGCCATTTTCCCAACATATTATTAAAATGGATATAGCCGGTTTTGCACGGATGCTCCTCAATTATCCTTTTCAAATAAGTTAAGTGGCCTTTTAAATACACATAGACACGTTGTGGCTTTACGGCGTTTTAGTCACGGAATGAAGTTAGCAGCAGGTTTTTAGTCACGGGCTGAAGTTAGTTTTAAGATAGTTGACAGTTGTCAAATGTCATACAATCGTTAAAATAAAGTGCCTTTCTTGTAAAATAATACTAAATGTAAAAATTATTTTATTATCTCAATATAAAAATACAAAAGTATTAAATAGTTTCTCAACGCCAATATTTGAAAAGTTCATATGAACATTGTACTGGCCTTTTTATTTCGCCGGCAGTAAACTATAACTTAAATTCGGGCACGGACTCCAGTGTAAAGTGCACATAAAACATTTTCTTTACTTTCACTGTGAAAAACTGTCAATTTTCAAAAAATACATTTCGATTTATAACCTTTATAATTGTGTTTATAAAATAAAAAAATGTGACATTTGACGGTGACACACGGTTTCCCCTATTGTTTCATAGATGGCGCGCTATACAAATCTTTGATTTAAATCATTTTAAGATAATAATAAGTTTTTGTCGTAGAAAAAGTATAGTATGCACCTCGTTTATAAACTTTTCTATACACTCATTAATTTAAACACTCGCTCGCAAGCTCTCTCGTGCCTAAATTAAATTCGTGTATAAAATGGCGTTTATCAAACTTGGTACATAATATACTATTATCTACGTCTATATTGACGAGCAGTGACTTTATGGCGCTTTAGTCACGGGCTGAAGTTGGTAATAAGTAGTGGCTTTTGGGCATTTTAGTCACGGGCTAAAATTAGCTTTATTATATATTAGAGAAAAGTGAGGTTAATTCCCTTGACATTTGACAGATGTCAAATGTTTAATAAATATAACCTTCGTAGATAAAGTAAACTTAGTATGCAACTCGTTTTATAAACTTATCTAGACACTCGTTTTTAATAAGCTTCGCTCGTGCATAATAAAACTCGTAACTAAAATGGCGTTTATAAAACTTGATACATAATACCTATACTATTATATAAAAGATGCCACAGACGATAGGTGATTGACCTTTAGCTACTTCAACTTTGCGACACGAAATCTTTGAAGTTTCTGCCTTCTGTGGTCAAACTACTAAATCATACTTTAGTGAGCATGCGTAACTACAAATTTTATTTTTTCGTAAAAATAATTGTTAAAAGAATTTCTACGTCATTAGCTAAAGCTGAAGAAAATTTTTTTATTGTATAATATTTTATAAAATTTTGTAAAATGTCACAGAAATAAAAAGATTATGTAAAAAAAGTAATCGTACTAAATTTGAGTAAAACTAGTACCAGATTCTTTTAATGTAATAAAAAAAAATTAATTTATCGGAATAATTTTCACTTATCTCTTTTCTTTTTCAATAATTCAATAAAATCACATATTTTCAAAAAATAACAATTTATTTTCATAAAAATAATTATAATTTTGCAGTCAAAGTAAAAAAATCGAAAAAATTACTATTAAGTTCAATTTTAACCTTAAGTAACTTTTAAAGCAGTGAATTTATCGACAAATCATAAGAGAGCTTTTTTGTACAGCGTTCAATTTCAAATTGGTGGCAATTTTCTTTTTATTAAAATGGTAAAAACCGAAAAACAAGTAAACGTCGGGTTTCCGAAATATTTACAAAAAATAACATTTTTTTTAAATGGGACACCCTGTATGTTTTTTATATATTTTGAAAGACCAATTAATTTGGAACAAAAAATTATATTGTTTAACTTAAAAATAAACTTGAACTTAATTCTATTTTAACAACAATCAGAAAGTTCAAGTGCTTATTAATTGTTTATTTTTAAGTTTAGCGTAGTTATGTAATTATAATTTTTTATTCCAAGTTAAATTGTCTTTCAAAATATGTAAAAATATACAGGGTCTCCCATTTCAAAAAATGTCTTTTTTTGTGGGTATTTTGGAAACCCAACGTTAAATTGTTTTCAACATTGTAATCAGAAGATACTAAAGATAGTACTAAAATACTTCTCTGATTCAGAAGAAAACCAGATATTTTTTAATATTACCCGTTTTTGTTAGTTGTAGCTTACGTGCAAAGTGTTGAAATATTTTCCTGAGGTGCGTCAACTATGACCTACAATTCGCCGTGTCAAGCTTATTTGTTGGAGGTATATTATGCTTGAAAAAAATTATAGACTAAATTAAAGCAAAAATCTATGTTTCTTAAATTGAAAAAAAACTGACTGTCGGCACGGGTTAATTTTAAAATCTGAAAAGTTTTTAATTATTTGGAACCACTTTAGGGGGCGACATCATTAAAACTCCACCAAGCCCATTTTAACGACCACCCTAATAAATTATATACTTTTTATTTTTATTAAAAGAAATATACATATAAGAATTAACTTATCTTATTTTTTTTAGAGACAGACAAGGCTTAGTATCCTTGATAACTGAATTAGGAGGTGAGAGTGATTCAAAAATAAGTTCAGAAGATAGTAATAGTTTGTCTGAAAAACCCTTGGTGGATACTGGACAAGTAGATTCCAACTCATGTTCGGATGTGTTAAAGAAATCTGAAGAAGATAGCAGTGATATGAGCATTTCTGTTCCAGATATTAAGGACTTTAAAATATTGTTACCAAAAGCAGATTTATCTCCAGAAGAGAAAATAGAGGAGGGTAACGATGAAGCAGAACCTGTTGAAGAAGAGGAGGAGGAAGGCGATGATGAGGAGGAGAAGGAGGAAGAAGAGGAGGAGAAGGAGGAGGAGGAAGAAGAGGAGGAGAAGGGGGAGGAAGAAAAAGAACTCAAAAAATTGGAAAGTAAAGGAAAAAGAAAAGCTAAAGAAATTAAAGAATCGAAACCTGGCAAAAGGGGTAAAGTTGAAAATAGGGAATCAAACAACGTGGTTTCAAAGGAAATTGAAGAACCTGTTATGAAAATTAAAGGTGAAGGTTCTGGAGCAGACAATAAAGATTCTAACATCATTTTGGGTGAAGTTATTGAGGAAGAGACAATATATTTTTATGGGGAAGGCAGTGGAAGGGAATGTGAAACTGGTAATGAAGACCAAAACAAAAATGTGTCTGAAGAAAATAAATCAGAAAGCAGTATTAACAAAAAAAGTAATGTAAGTAGTGTAAAAAGTGATAAATGTATGCCAAAAGAAGTTCCTAGTTCACCCGCCAATAAGACTGATGTATCCGATAGTATAGAAAATAAATCTCTGGAAACCACTCCAAAAAAATCTATGTTTTTTTTCGGTTCTTTTAATTCCAAAGCGTTATCGCCTTCTTTAACTATGGGATTTGGGCAAAGTCCAAAAAAAGAAAATGAAGAAAACAAAGAAGAAAAAAGTGAAGACCATGTTTCAGATTTGTTGGAAAATGGCAAATCTGAAAAAAATGAACCTAAAGAAGAAAATATTGAAACATCCAAACCTAAAAATGCAAAAAGTTTAGATGTTATTCCAAAAGATAAAGACAAATCTGAAAAGGATAAAAATATGTCTATAAAAGTTGAACAAGAGGTAGGAGTTAAAGTTAAAAAAGATATTGACATAACAGAAGATGAAAGTAAATTGGAAAAGCCCAAAGAAGCTATCAGTAATTCAAAAGAAACCAATGAAACAAAAAAAGAATGTAAAATTCGAGTTAAGGAACCTTTAGAAGAAAAAGTTTCAAAAAATATTCCAAAAGAAGATTCCAAGATAAAAGTGGAACAGGCTTTGAAAGAGAAAAAAGTTTCAAAAGAGGTAGAATCTAAAATCAGTGTAGAAAAAGTTGAAGTTTTAAACAATACACCAGTTAATAAAGGCGTTGAAGAACCAAAAGTATCATGTACAAAATTAAATGAAAATACGGATAATCAGGGTACACTAAATAAAGTAACAGATGCAGAATCAATTATAGAAAAAGAAGCGGTTATTGAAGAAGTGTGTGTTAAAAAAGACGCTTATAAGTGTGTAGAAAACGCAATTAAAGATAAAAAAGAAAATACATCAGCAGGCAAAAAAAAACTTACAGAAAGAAAGGCAGAAGAAACAGTAGAAAAAAAGGTTGAAGAAAAAGCAGTAGAAAAAAAGGTTAAAGAAAAAGCAGTTAAAAAGAAGGTTGAAGAAAAAGTATTAGAAAAAAAGGCATTGAACAAGAAAGCTGAAGAAAAAGCAGTAGAAAAGGAAGCTGAAAATAAAGTAGGAGAAAAGAAACTTGAAGAAAAAGAACCAATAGCAAAGAAGTCTGAAGATAAGGAAGAAGCAGCAAAAAAGAAACCTGCAAACTCTACAAAACTGCTAAGAAACATGAGAAAACCAAATCCGAAAAAGAAGACGGAGGAGTCTCCTAAGGAGCCCGCGGAAATAAGAATGACGAGAGGAAGGGGAAGACAGGTCGGGGAAGAGGGATCTAAAAAGCCTAAAATCACTGAAAAATCAACGGAAGACTCCAGTGTTGCCAAAACAGATGCTCTTACGGACGGAGTTGTAGAATTACCTGGGTCGGAAGATGAAGCTGACAACACTGAACCTCAGAAGCCGGTGAATCTTCTTTCGCTTTCTTTTGATTTCGTCGAATCACCGAATCCTGTTGAAATGAAAACGACGAGGGCTCTTCGAAAAAGAGGCAGGGACGTTCAGGAGAATAGTGCAGCTGGTAAAAAAATCAAGCTGAAGGGAAAGCGCACCGTCGACTCGGAGTTGAGAAAAAGCGTGGAAGAGCAGAAGAAAAGGCAACAGGGCAGCAGCAGCGAGGAGGAACCGAAAAAAGTGCCAATGGAGGGATGCAAAAAGGGGAAGCAGTCTGTCAAAAAAGAGGCAAATGAAGGCAAGTGTAACGACTCCGCAGTAGAAATCAGCGACGATTCCATACCTGAAGTAAAAACGCCAAAGAAAAACAAAGCCAAACAACATGGTAAGCTAATATAATTTTAAAAAAATCTCCATATTTTCTACATATTATTTTAAAGAGAAACTTGCCGCGGGACATTTTTTTTAAGGTTTTCAGAACAGTAGATTTTCATAAATGCAGCGCAGCTGAATGTTTACGAATCGAACGTGGCAGTGAATTTTCTGTTCTCTTTTTCGGCCTTGTGTTACCGATCTTCTCAAATCTCTTAATTAATATTACAGTTGAAGCACGATTAATATATACATACCTTTATCAGGAGCACTCACTTTGAAATGCCGTGCAGTCTGATTTCAAGTTATTTCAAATTTAAAAAAAGCGGGACCCTGTATTTGTTTGATTTGATCAGCATCGTCTCTTTCGGGCCTCGCAAGGGCAACCAATACCCACGTTCCAATTTTCGGCCGCACCCAACAACTGCACAGCTTCACCTGTGTTTGCTGTAGGTGGATGTCTACCACAATTTGCACCGTACCCTTGTAGGGGTTCGCAAGCAGCATGCCCATGGTTTTAGTTACCCTTCCCGAAATTGTTCCGGGCCGGACTATACGCCCAGAGGGCTAGAGGAGCTGGAAACTAGGAGGGTAGACCTTTTGGTTTTCTGGGGACAATAACACCGACCCAAACCTAGGTACGAAGAGAAATTCCCCTAGTATAGTAATAACACAAGCATTTGGGGGTCATGCTTGCAGCTGGGTATTGTTATTTCGCCTAACGTCGTCTACTGCATAATGTTCTTCTGTGTCCCTGTCCCCTTCCCCTCCTGCGTCGATAATTTCTGGTATTTGCTATGTTTGGCGGATATCGTGTCTTTCCCACCCTGTTCTTGATACTTTGATTGCGATGTTGAAGACGTCCGAGGCGGCTAATATTATTTCCGCTTCGATTCAAGAACTGTTTTGTTCGTGGTCATTGAAATACGCTTTGATTTGTCCGTCGCTGTCTGTTATGGGGGCGTAACGGCGAGCTTGGTCTTGTATTGAGTCTTCGACGTACGGTCTAAAATTTCCTGTTTGTTCGTATGTGATTATTAAGTCTTTGTCGGCTGTCATTATATTTGTGCTATTTCATTATTAGTGTGATACAGCTAATGAGCTAATAATGACGGAAGTATTTTTATGACTGCTACTGTATATTTTTCTATTTCCATTGACTGCTACTGTATATTTTTCTATTTCCATTGTTTTAGTTTAGGTAATATTATTTATGTCCTGTTAGCAGTACCGGCGGAAAGCACATATTTAGACCGGGCAAGCACCTTGACTGGCGCCTCTATAATTACCTATAAAAACGCCAGTCAAGGTGCTTGGCCGGTCTAAAAGTAATTACTTATTAGGTAAAACAAAAACTATTCGCAAATTATTTGCTGTATAATATGAGGAGTGATTTTTCAAAAAGCCTTATTTCCATTTTTACTTGAATGTAATTTTTTGACAAAATCTCAAAGATATGGTTAAAAGGCATATATTAACGGCGAAATATGACAGCAGGTCTGAAGTATTATTAAATATTCATCAGATTTTTTTTTTAAATAATCTATATTGCCCTAACCTAGTCATTTTTTTGAAAAATTGTTGCAAATGGAAATACGACCTTTTGAAAAATCACTCCTCGTATAATATATTCAAATACTTATTTTTAAACTTATTTATTTACATAAGTGGGTAATTACATTTAATAAAAAACTGCTTTCAACCCTTCATGTCGGAAAATTATTTAATGATAGATTTATAGTCAATTTTGCTTAATATGTGGTAATCAATCGACATCATCGCCAACGCAACTAAGCGATCTTGTGATATTAATAATATCATATTATAGATTGCAAATATTTTTTTATTAATCTTAATTTAGAAAAACTTCTTTCTCCGAAAGCGACTGTTGTGTTAATTGCAATAAAGCTTCCCGATTTTTGCCTTGTTTACGAGCTATCGAGGGGAATTTTTTCCAACTCGGCAGATTTTTTGTGGCTATTGTCTATTATCATGTCAGTATTTTTAAATATTTTATAGTATATTTTGTATCTTGTAGTTCGTATGCGTGTTTTATATTCAGCCCGTAAATATTATTTTTATTATTATATCTTATTTTTTGTCGGTTGTGAGCCTCTCCTTGCATTAGGCCCTTCCGCTGGCCCTGCCTGTTAGATAGACTTGTTTGTTTTTTGTCACATGATTTAATCGTTTTAAACGGGGGTGTGGCCTCTTTGGTTGAAATTGCTTAATTTATGGTCTGTTGAAGAAGACATGTGTTTATTTTGTCTGGAGATTTAAACGTGCTTAACTTAGGCAGCTTAGATAGTAATGTTGGGAGCAAATATTTCCTTTGAATTTTGCAGGAAATTTCCGAAATATTCGGTCTTAAAATGCGGAAAGTCACATAAATCCGAATATTTCAAATATTCGCGCAAATATTTCACAATAGTCAACCTGGCAACACCAGCTCATAATCACCATCACAGGACAGATGATCACAATTTTCGGTTGCGATTCGGTATTAAAAATTCACAAAGAGTTTTTATGCTGTTTGTTTTTAGTTTATAGTAGGCTCAATCAACGGTAGGCTTGTTCCTGAAGAGCATTTGGAACATGCGCAATAGTAAAATCGCGACCAAATGTTCGTATTGCGCAAGCGATTTTGGTATTGCGTATTGGTATATTCCTGACGTCCATGCGACAGTCCAAATTCTCGGTAGGAGCAAACCTAGTATAATGACTAATGACTCACTAGTAGTGAGGTTAAGTTCATATGATCAATGATCAAACTTCGCCCTTTTGATGTAATACTTTTTATATAAAATAAAGTCGTATTATTATTATTATTAAAGCTGCAAAATGCCAAAAAATAAATTGCCAGTGTGGAAATATATATAGTTTTATAACAACTAATAAAAAAACACACAAGGATTAGGTTTGCGTCTCGAGTCGCCATAGGAGAGACGCAAATCATCCGAGAGAATAATGCAATAATATTGAGTGTAATACTATACTTTTACTACTCCAATTGGTAGATATTTAAGTAATTTTTAAAAATAAATAAAATCTGACATCTGTCAGATGGTTAACCTCACTTTTTACCAATTTTAAATATTATAGTCGCCTTTTCCCAATTTAAATAAATTAATTAATTAAATCCAATATTATGCAATGGGAGTAAATAATAGTATATTATGTATCAAGTTCTATAAACGAGATTTTATTTACGAGTTTTATTAGGCCCGAGCGAGTGTTTAATAAAAACGAGTCTCTAGATAAGTTTATAAAACGAGTTGTATACTATACTTTATCTACAACTAACAGAAATAAGAATTTAAAGCCAATTTTAATTCATACATATTTCACATTTAACAAATTAACCTCAGTTCTTCGCAATTTATAAAAAATCTAACTTCAGCCCGTGACTAATATGCCCAAAAGCCACTGTTGTTAACTTCAGCCCGTGACTAAAATGCCTTAAAGTCACAGCTTATCAATGTAGGAGTAGATAAAAGTGTTTAAGTGCGTCTTTAATTTATTGCTATATTTTATAAAAAAAAATACTGATAAAAGATTCGAAAATGTTTTGCAACATTAAAAAATGTCCAAAATATCAATATCACTAAGCTTAATACTTTGGTTTAAGATTTTGACGTTCCTCAAGTTGCTATTTTTCTGATTTTAACTTTTTATTGTCGTAAATTGCGTTTAGGTCATCCGATTAATTAAATGTACTTATTCTATATCTATAGGTGTCCCCTGATCCCACTTTTGTTTCGACTCGTTCTTCAGGTATGCTTCTCGCTGGCAGGTGGGAGCCAGGTATGGGAGCCCTTATCACTTATCGACTTATCCGTATCCGTAATGATTTCGCAAGTTATTATTTATGTAATATGGAAGTGCTCTGGTTAACGTATGCCTTTAAGCCGCACTGCATTTGTTTGATTTGATATCATTCTATAAAAAAATTCCTAATTCTAAAATTGTGTTAGGTAAAATAAACTTGTAGGCATTTATTCAATAAACACTAATTTAATAAATTTTAATTTATTTATAAACGTATAGTTGGCTTATTATTTAATATTCCCTTTTAAAATTTCAGCAAGACTATTGGCAAACCTCGGCATTACTGACCCCGAGGCAATCGACACAACGCCCAGCGTAAGACAGTCTCGCAGACTGGCGCAACTAAAAATTAAACAGCAATCCGAAGTAACAGTGGTGGAGCAAAAAAGCCCATCCCCAAAATTGGAGAGCAAAAAGAAGTTAAAGAAAAAGAAAGGAGGCGACGAGAAAAACCGCAAACGCAAAAACGACAATGAAGGTTCGAGCGGCGACGACGACGACAACGAAGGTGACAGCGATAAGGCAAAAGACAGCAAGAAAAAGAAGAAGAAGATGTGGCTGAAGCAGACATTCGACGAGAGTAGGCCGTGGGCGTCGAGTGACGAGCACAGCGAACACAGCGAGGTGGAGGAAGAAGAGGAGGAGGAAGAGATTATAGAGGAGGACTACGAGAAGCCGCTCAAATCGGATCACGAGTTTTCGCCAGAGAGCGAAGACGATCAGGATGAGGATTACAAGCCGGTGAAAAGAGCGAGAACAGCAAAAAAAGGTATGTAATACTATTTTTATGCCATAGAACAATATTTTCTTTATATTCACACACTTTGGTAAGTATAATATTATATTATATTATATTTGGTTTTTGATGATCAAAAATTAAAAAAAAAGTTGCCAGAGGCATATTTTCTGTTGGCGAATTTTACATATTGATGCGATTTTTTTATTATAAATTGAAGATTTAATAATAATTTACAGGTACACTTTGTTATTTACCTGTGTGGTTATAGGAGTGTAGCACCCCATGATTTTGTTATATTTAATATTACCATATAATATATCACCTAAATGTATGTATATTTGGGTGATTCGTTTTGAAGGAACATTTGTTTTTTGTCGCTCCCTAAGCAAAAAACAAAAATGCCCTTAGACTTCAGCCCTTAATCCATTTTCATAAAAATAATGTTACTTTTGCTGTCAAAGTAAAGAAATCTAAAAAATTATTATAAGTTCAACCTTTTACCTTAAATAACTTAAACCACTTAATTTATCGAAAAATCATAAGAAAGATTTTTTTGTACAGCGTTCAATTTCCTATAAAAAGTATATTGTATATTAACTTGCTCAGGAGGAAAAAATTAAATGCCGAAACCCCATGTTATTTAAATGGGAAATGTATCGTCTTTGTGGCAGGGTTTAATATGAATATTAAGGGCTTATATGAGTCTGATAATTTTTTTAGGTCATAAACTAAAAATTTAGAGGGCGCTGCGAAAAAAAAAACAAGTTGGTAAATAACAGACACCCAAATATTCATGCAATAATAGTTTAAAGTAGATGTGAAGCCAAAGTAAGCAAGTTTTTCCCCTATCACTTTTGCATTGGTGCTACTGTTTTTGAATTAAAAAAATCATAAAAATTTGTGCAATTTTTGGCCATTTGTTTGGCGGTCACTGGTTTCGTTTGAATTAAGTTAAAATCATCGATATTAATTCTTTATATTTATTATTAGATATTATCAAGCAAACTCGTCAATTCTCGACAAAAACCAGTTAAACAATTGCAAGCAATAGAACAAGTGGTGGGCGGTCATGTTTTACCAGTCGCCGTCGCAATTCGACACTTGTACAAGCAATAGTGATTTTATTTATTATAATGACTTTGCGTTATAATTTCTGCATAACAATTACATACAAAAATTCAAAACTAGGTTCAATGAATCTTAAGATATAATTTAATTAAATTTTATATAAAACCTGGCGGTAAAAGATTATAAATTGCCTCGCACACAATCTTGCATCTACTATCGCCTCGGCATTGAAATGTATGCTCGGCGATAATGTGTTTTTTCTGCCTGGTACTATTACCATTCATATTATTTTTCATGGGAAAATTTATTAGTAATATTGCAATTTTATTACACTTTAACAAAAATGCAGGTTAATCATTAGATTAAAATTCTGTGATGCATAGAATAGTACATTCTGTAACAAGTTTGGAATACAGCATATTCCGCTCGAGGAAAAATTTGACACACGAGCCGAAGGCGAGTGTGACGGTTTTACGAGAGTGGAATATGCTATTCCAAACGTGTTTCAGACATTATTTTCTCTACGACTACGGAAGAATAGTAACGCTTATATAATTTTAAACAGAGAAAAGAAACCAAGCAGTTTTTGACATTTAAGTTTTTTGTATTGTCAAACCATTTTGTGCCGTCACAATTTTATAATGTAAATTATAATAAATTTAAACAAATGGTATGCCTAAATCTTTATTATAATTAAAAATAGTTATTTACACTAACTAATAAAAAAAATAACATTGTAACAAATTTAAAACTAATTTTACAAGTAATCTATGTCAACATCTATTCTTTTTCTACATTTTAAAGGTCTTTTTTTAAACTTTTTGAATCTGTCAAAACTTTAAAGCCGGTATAGTAGGTAACTGGTTTATCATTTTAATATCAAATTTATTATAATTTTGATTTGTATATTTGAAAAACAATAAATATAACTAATTTTTTGTGCCTAAACCTTAACTATACAACTGCTATTATTTTTTAATTAATAAATAATACAGTAATATTTAAATATTTTTAAATTTTTTACGTTTAGTAAACAGCCAGGAGATGTCGTTACTTGTGACCATTCTTAAACAAGGGTAGGAATATTCTCGCACAGTATTGCAGAAAAACATCCTTTCTATGAAAAAAATTACACTAGAATGTTACTATTCTTAAGTAGTCGTAGAGAAAAATAATTTATTATTAAATGTATTACTTGCGTTGACACACGGAATGCAGACACACATATCAGACTTTTATAATCTGTGGACTGAAAGTCGCCGACTGTTGACGCTCGATTTAAAAGTCAAAAAGTTTTGACGCTTAATTTCAGCTTCAAAAGTTGATCACGTGATTGTTTTGACGCTAAAACTTCCAGCGTCAACATAAAATTAAGACTTAAAACGATTTTAGCTTTTTTGCTTCGACGCTGTTAATACAATTTTGATAAATTTAGGTTATTTAAAAACAATTATTCAGTATACATGGAGTCTACACAAGGAGTCCAAACTTCATATAAACAAGAGCAGACGTCAGTACGCATCGACAATCAGTGCCGCTGGTGGTGAAAAAAAGACTTAATTTGTGCAACTTAGAGGGCAGGTTTTGTCAATTTCCCCTATTAAGTTCAGGCTTCTTGTGTAGGCTCCATGCAATATAATTGATTTAAAATGAATACAGTATTAAAAATGTATAAACGAAGTAGGTACACATCAAAATCCCACCACGTGACTGATACATATAATTCAGTGCCAAGCTAATTTCATTCCATTTTCTAAAAATAATGCAATAAATGTATTTTTGTGTAAAAAGGTCTTAACTTAAAACAACAAAAAATCTATATACTATGTTCTGCTTTAGGTTTCCACGGGCGTTATATGTATTAGTGGTTTTGCGGGATCTGCTCCGTGTTGTCGGTTTTTGGTTCTTAAAAGAAACTTATGTCTGACGACGTTTCGGTACAATCTCATGTACCATCTTCGGGTCTTATCTGCTGGGCTGCTGTTGCTGCGAGTTAGACGTGGAATCCACGTATATTTATATGTTCTGCTTTAGGTTTCCACGGGCGTTATATGTATTAGTGGTTTTTCGGGATCTGCTCCGTGTTGTCGGTTTTTGGTTCTTAAAAGAACCGTATGTCTGACGACGTTTCAGTACAATCTCATGTACCATCTTCAGGTCTTATCTGCTGGGCTGCTGTTGCTGCTCTACTGCGAGTTAGACGTGGAGTGAGCTCTGTTGCCCCTGATCGTTGTTTATATACCCTCTTAGCTTTCCGCGTCATTAACCGTGACTGCGATTGAACTTATGTTCGGCTCCATTGATCTCGTTAATCTGCGTGGCGTTTTGGTGGTTGTAAGGGCTGGTTTCCATGCAGTTGGTAGTCTCTGTGTCTCGTCTCTTGTGTTGAGGTTTCTTGGACGTTTTTCTATTTCAATGCCTTCACGGATGGTACGTTTGGTCCTGTGTTTGATGCTACTGTCGATTGAGCGTCAAAAATTTTTTATGATAAATTTCAGCATCAGATATTCGAGCGTCAAAAGTTGATCACGTGACGGTTTTGACGCTAAAAAACTAGCAAACAGCTTCAACATAAAATGGGGATTTTTTATTTTGACGCTGAAAGTCACGGGACTGTTCTGACGCTTAAAAATTAGCGTCAACATGAAATTGCACCTTTATGAGCCATTTTTTTAAAGTTATTTATTAACCGCTTTAATCGCAAGCCTATTTAGCAAGCAGAAAATAAACGTTTTTAAGGACAAAGTAACGTTTGAAACGAGACGACAAAACATCGTGTAGAATAGTTGATGCGACGTCCATAACTTCCCTTGTTTATGATAACACTCCTTTTTTAACATCTTATCGTTTTAATTGTATTATAGAATAAAAAATAGAATGTTTATGAACTAAGAAAATAAATCATTGTTTATGTCTAGAAACTGAAGTGCTCGAAGACGTTGACGACGAAGACACTCCCTGTCAGAAATGCGGCAAAAGCGACCATCCCGAGTGGGTGTTGCTGTGCGATAGCTGCGACAACGGTTGGCATTGCTCGTGCCTAAAACCTCCTTTGCTCGTGATACCCGAAGGCGACTGGTACTGTCCGCCGTGCCAGCACGAAAAACTTCTCGAGAAACTGCAAATCAAACTCACTGATTACGACAAAAAATTATCGAAAAAAATGATCGAGGATAGGCGCAAAGAGCGGCTGGCGTACGTCGGTATAAGTTTGAATAACGTGTTGCCCACCTCTAAAAAGGGGCCGAGGAAGGCCAGGGAGCCTAGAGGGGAAGATGATGAGTCCGGTTCGGACGAATATTCTTCGTCCGAAGACGAGGACGAAAAAGATAAGAGTAGCAGCGACGATGGAAGCAGCACAAGCAGCGACGAACCGATTTATCAGCTTAGGCAACGCAGACAAGCGCAGAGCTACAAGTTCAACGATTACGATGATTTGATGAAGTCTGCAATTGAGGTAAGAAATTAAAATCAAATTCTTTATTTTTATCTCGAAAACAAATGACCTTTTTATTCCAACAGTCATGCCTTAATAATCCAAATATTTTGTTGTGAATTACAAATTGTTTTTGTCCTTTGAGAAAACCTTTGATGTAGTGCAACACAAATTAACAAAACTGACATCACCTGAAAATTATGTTATGTTTATGTACAGTTGTATTCATTAAAAAAGCGTACAAGAATTAGAATGAGAGAAAACTGTCAACATTATTGCGTAAAACCGGCTTTCCACTGACTTAAGTCACTATAACTGACAGATGAAAATAAAAATGCCTCGTCAGTTAAAAAGGCTTAAATAGTATCAAGAATAGAAGAAGAATGGTCAATTCGTGCTGTGGCGCAGTTGTATAATATAAATAAAAAATCTATATTAAAAATTAAGAAACACGAAGATTTACTAAACCAAAAAGTTGGTTCAGGTCGTCCCAAAATGTCCACCCCTGAACAGGATGCTGCTTTTTTGGGATATCTGAGGTTTTATGGGAAACTATACAACTATATTATACCTACTATACAGCTGGGAAGATATTAATCCAAATATTGTATTAAATTTAATTCAGTTAATCCCAATAATAGAAAAACAGGGATGCATGACTAAATATTAAATTTTTTTAAGGTTTGTTTTTTTTCATTTCTAAAAGGTAATAATTTTTTTAATATTATTTAATTAACCTACGACGTCAATGCTCTTTATAACCTATAGTAATTATTTTAATGACTTATGTCAGTGATAAGCCGGTTTTAAGCAATAATATTATTTTGACAGTTTTCTCTCATTCTAATTCTTGTACGCTTTTTTATTGAATACAACTGTACACGTCATATAAAATCTTAATTTTAAATAAAAACAATATCTCAAAAGAAATTAAAACATGCACATTTATGTGTTTTACATCAAATATAACCACCCAAAGTTATTAACAAGATATTTGTCATAGAAAAAGAATATATTTGTGGCCAGCATTAATCATGTTAGTTTAAACTCTTTTTGTAATAAATTTTATAACACATATATTTTTTTATCAAAGTATAAAAGAAAAGAAAAAGACAAGTATTTTTTTTTCGACTGGTTCAGGTTTAATGGAAATTTTACAATTTTTTCATGTCAGAATGATAAAGGAAAAAGGGTTTTGTTCAGCTTTTTGCATATTTTTACATTACATCATACTGTACTTTCATTTTATATGTAGACGACGCATTCGGTTTTTAAAAGTAGGAGAATAATTTTTAAGTGGGAAACGGTTTGAGTGATAGTCGAAGTTTGATCTGAATTATTAATACGAATTACGCAATAATTAGTTAATTTACTTTTAAAAATAATTCAGATACCTACTTAAAATGTTACGTAATCACTTCTAACAGTAAATTATTAATTAAAGGTGTAAAATCATTATGTGTTTTGAAACTAAAAGTGTTTTCTTATAAAAAAAAACGTTTAAACATACAAAATTATCTTTAAAAACTAAAATAAAATAATTCTCTTGGAAACAAATTAAAATAAATAAATCAATTGTCTTAAAACAAAACAAAATTATATTTAGGTTTAATATTGTATGTACTTTATATTTAATATCCAGATATAAATAAAACATTCATTGGTACAGTTACTTAAATAATTATTAATATTGTTTTAAAAAACTGTCGTCATCGCTACTATCATCTGAATCTAAAATAATTAAAAATCTTTCTACTTGATCATCCAACACTTTTTTCTGGTCAAGATATTTATCTTCCATAGATATTGCATGGTGATATCTTTTTATCCAATGCTCTTGCGATATTTTAGCAAATTCTTCTTCCACAATTTTTTTTGAATCGTTCAATTTAAAAATGACATCAGGCCCTGATGATCAGGGTGGTAGGGTGGCAACCTCAACACAGTGTGTTCATGCTCTTGGCTTAAATTTGTCTTTATGGGTTTTTATAATTTTATATAATTAAGTTTTTAGCATACCAGGATGAAATGTTTAATATTTAATTTTGTTTATATGCATATTTAGGTATATTTATATAATTAAGGTACCTTTTAAAATTATACCACCTTGTTATATTCACTTAAAAATTATGTTGTATGTTATACAGTTAAAATTTACGTATTTATGTACAGGGTTCGGCAATGAAACGGAAAGATTTCGTAAATACTTAACTTTTTTGTTGAAATTTTTTTTTTATATAATCGGAAATAGAAGAGTAGCCATTTAATTTACAATGTTAAAAAAAAAATATTTCGGGAGACCGAGGGGGCCAACCGATATCCCGTTTCGAGAAACGCCCTGGCAAGAAAGCATTCACAGTATTCATTGAATCTCTTGCAGTGTGGCTTGTTGCACAGTCTTGTTGAAAAAGTGTGTTTTCATTGACTGGAAAGCTGTCAAGTTGTGTATCTCCCGACCTTACTGTCTGCGACTTCTTTTTGTGGGGTTATATTTTTTTTAACATTGTAAATCAAATGGCTACTCTTTTATTTTCAATTAATGTATAATAATTATAAAAAAAACTATTTATCAACAAAAAAAAAAATATTTACGAAAGTTTCATTGCCGACCCCTGTATATATCGAGGTATATACTACTTTGTTACCTTTACTTTTTTAATTTTATATATCTTTAAACTAGTTTATCAATAATTTTGCGATACTCTGAAATTTGGGTTAACTTTAATACAAAAAATTAAACAAATGGCCAAAAATGTTTTTAACAATTTTTTAAAAGTAAATATTGAATACCCGCCACTGCATTGCCAAACACGTGTTAAACTTTACTTGAAGGGCGGTACCATTACCAAATTATGTCAATTGCGCATTTTACGCAATTCGCATTTTGCATCTATATTATAGATTCTATAAGAAACCGACTTAAGGCGTTCTCGCCAAATTACACGGCGGGCACTGTACCCACTACCAAGCCTGCTACATATTAGGTATTGCCCTTTAAATATAGATAATTTATTTAAAATATTTCTTTTGGTAGTTTTAACATTCATAAAAACATTTTTTTTTCGGGAAAGTAAGTCCAATATTGGCACAGTATCTTTAAATGCAGATTGGTGGTTTCTTTTATCTTGGGTGATCATTTTCTCGTTTTGAGGAGAATCCAAAATATTTTTCACTCTTTTCCTTAGCCTGCCATGACGTTATAGTACTTTTTTATAGTTTTTCTTCATTTCTACATACCATCGTTAGTCTACTAACCGTCTGTTTTAACTTCCTTTTTTTAGGCGTATCCTGGTTTGCAAATTAATTCAATTTACTTTTATCACCATGGAATGATTGTGAAGTTGACTGTCATGATGAATCTTTTTTAAATGATTTCAATCATGTGAAGTGGAAAGTAAAGATGAGTCAGTTTCAAAATACCAAGGTGAATGACTTTCCATATATTATAAGAGGATGACTTAATAAAAGAAAGCTCATCTTTGGGATTAAACTCCTCAATGAGGAGTCCTCGTGCTAAATTTCTTTGGGCATTTTATTCTGAATGAAATAATATAAAATTTTATTCACTTCCTGAAAATTTCTCTTATGCATATAACAGTGAAAAGAAACATAAACAATTTTTAGGTAATTATAACAAGTAATTTTTTTAAAATGATAATATTGTCAAATGTAAATAAAAAATGTGACACATTTTTACTTACAATTTTTAATAGGTTTAATGATGGGACTCCTTTCTGATAAACCTTTTCTGTGGTATACTCAAAATGGACAACGCAAATTACGTTACGTAATAGTGGTTGCCTAACACTTTTTTTGAAATAAATATTTTTATTTAAGCTTTTGTTTTAGGATTATTAACTTTCTCTTGTTTTTACTTATGTACCCCGTTACGTTGTTAATTTTGAGTAGAAACACACTATATACCGTATTTTCATTTTTGGTTAACGCATCATAGCAGCATTCAGTTTTTAAGAGTTGGGGGAATAATTCGTTTTAACATGATGGTAACAACATAACATCGGGACTAAAACTTTTATTTTTTAACTATCGAATTACTTTAGTTTTTACATAAACCTTTCTTCGTTATTTATGGCCGGATTTAATAAAGTTTTTTGAAGTGTTTAGTAACTAAACTAAACCTAAGTTTAATATTAATGTAAACTAGTGGTATATGATAAATGTATATAATAAATCTATAAAAACGTAATAATGATTAAATATTGAATAAACAATAATTTAAAATGGCCATTATTGCAATAGGTTGCAAAAAGTCACGCGACATGAAAATTGTCGTCAAGTGCTTAAAAGAAAACGATTTTGCAACTTACTGCATTCCTGATTTTTTATATATTTTTTAACATCGTTTTTAACAGATTTTATTTTCAATTTTCGATAAATAAATTTGTATTTTTTTTATTTTTAAACACTAGTCATTGTTATAAAACGCTAAAACAAAAATGTATGTAAACACATTTTAATGTAACATGACTCGTTAATAACCATTAAAATACACAAAAACCTTTACCCAAAGCAGGCTAAATTGCGACTGACTGGTCAAACGCGGTGGGCCAGAATACAGTCACGATTACTGCCGTTTCCCTTTATGCCTAATATAAACTGATGGGCAAAATTAAATCATTTCAAAGATCTATAAAATTTGATTAAATAGTCTAGAATAGTATATTCTGTAACAAGTTTGGAATACAGCATATTCCGCTCGACTGAAAAGTTTGTCACACGAGCCGAAGGCGAGTGTGACGGTTTCACGAGAGCGGAATATGCAATTCCAAACGTGTTTCAGACTATACTTTTTCTATGCTTATAAAAAATACCAAAGAAATAATTTAATTGGAAAAAAGTTAGGTTATCTTTTGACAGATGTTAGATTTTATGATGGTAGTAAATAAGATAGTTTTTAAATAAGCTTATAAAAATTACTTACATAATTTTGCAGAACCTAAATTAGGAAGTATAAAGAAGTAATAAACTTTTTTTATTCTTTATTATTTACATGTATTGTA